CCCCAAAACCCCAAAACCCCAAAACCCCAAAACCCCAATTTTAAATAGGTTATATAATTTAGAAACAATTAAGATGATTGAGTGAAGGCATATTATGAGGTATCAGAAGGAAGATGTGAAGGAATTGAACAATTTGAAGAATAGGATTGTTTGAAAGGTAATTTTGAGGGTTTGGAGAGGGTTTGAGGGGGTTTAGAGGTGGTTTGAGAGTAGAGAAAGCGATTTTGGACCAAAGGTGGGGAAGAGGGTTATTGGGAGAGGAGTTTGAGTTTAATTTTAATAGGAATGTTTGAGGGGGTCAAGAAATGTTAAGAAGATGAGTAAGGATATGTGGATTTGCCTGAGATGAGCCACTATTGGATGTGGTAGAAGAGCTAAAGCTCATGCATTAGATCATTATAAGAAGACACATCACAAATTATCTGTAAATGCTCAGACTATGTCTCTCTGGTGCTATAAATGAGACTATGACTTGATAGAAGAAGGACTCCAGCTCTCTCTTGAAAATGATAATTCAACTTTTGAAGAATATAAAGAGCATGTTGAGGAAATGCATGATTATATCTGAGATATTGTCTCAAAAAGATGTCATAAAAATGTTGAGTCTAATGGGGATAAGACTACAAAGAGATCTCTCGGTGATGATTCTAGTCCAGCAAGATATTATCGCACTTCTTCTTACCGTTAGTATAAACTGTAAATTATTTTAGATGGTGTTAAAATCAACCAGATCGATGACGAGCAAATAGAAAGAAGAAGCATTCCTAATAGACAAAATCAAGAAATTTCCTTCGATGAACAAGACTTTCAAACTGACTCTTATCTTTCGCCGATTATAATGAAATTAAGAAAAGATCATGAGCCGAGCTCTAAAGTGGATGAAATATTATTTTCAGGAAAGGGTTTAAGAAATCTGGGCAACACATGCTTCTTCAATTCAACTATGCAGTGTCTAACTGCCACAAGAGACTTATTCTTTTTATTACACGAAAATCCTCTTAAACAAAGCGGAAGAGGATTCGCATTCAACGACATTTTTAGCGATTTCATACTTGAAATGAGAGAATCTTCAAGCGAAACTATTTCTCCCTCTGATTTGTTTAGAGCAATTGTGAGAAAGAATGCAAGATTTAGAGGATACCAACAACAAGATGCTCATGACTTACTCATGATGTTGATCGAAAATTTAGACAAAGAGGCTTTAAAATAAGAAAAAGAAACCTATAATGGAACATGTTTTTGGTGGAAAAATGCTTACATGAGGTATTCCAGTTATGTAACCTATAGTTTTATGCCTAACATGCAACCAAGTTTCTCGGACTATCTCTCAATACAACAACCTTATGCTCGAAATAGCTTTCAGCACACCTAAAAATTCTAAGTTAAAACTTAAATACCTTCAAAAGAACAAGGTGCAATCTGTGCGTGGGGGTGGAGATTACAAGCTATCTTCAGAGGCCAAAGAATACCTTAAATCCGATAACTCCTCCAAAAAATCAGATTGATTCTTTAAAAGGCTTTTCTGGTGCTGTTACAAACAAGAAAGGGAAAGAAAAAGCCTAAGTAAAGCCGATCATACAGAAAAATCTCTTTCTAAAAAGTCCCAAACACCAGGTAATCCAGTGGCTAACCCCTAGACGATGAGGAAGAGAAAATACCTCCCAAGAAAGCCTCTTTCAATGATAGTGAGATAGACGACTACCAACGAAGAAGTACCAAGACAAACACCTTCTATAAGAAAACCAAAGATGCTGATGACCTAGAAGGTCAGAAATCTAATGAAAGAATCTCAGTTGAGGATATCAAGGAAACCGCAAATGACATGGTCAAGGAAGCTGAAGCCCAAGAGAAAGATCCTCTCAGTTTTAGGTTCAGAAAAGTTGTTGACCTTGGCAAACCTGATAAAAATACGGAATCAGAGAGTAAAAGTAATGATAGTGAAGAGAGTGAGGATGGAGAAACTCCAAGGAGGTCAAGCGACATTGAGAGTGAAGTTAGTGGAGGAGAGAGTAGTAGTAGAAATGAGTCAAGAAATTCCTCCTTGAACCCAAGAGTAAGACTGGAATTGGTTGGTCTCTTATTCTTCATAGGCTGATAATTATATTCAGCATTCGTCTGATCAGAGTGAAGAATTGAATGAAGGAAAGTTTGGAGAAGAGTCAACTATTCATTTTGAGCCGACTTTTTGGCCTACGAAAAGAGTAAATTTTTACAAATAACACTTCTTAGTCCAGATATTTCACTCTTGAAGAGTGCCTTGATTACTATGTAGAAGTAGAGTTGCTTAATGATAAGAAAAACCTTTACCAATGCGAGAACTGCACATTGCTAAAGTATGGCAAGAGTAAGTTTTTGTCTTAAATATCTAGAATCGAAAAAGAAGTTTGAATCTCCTGCTATTAAAAGGAGCGTTATTCTTGAGTTACCTTTAAATCTGATAATCAACCTCAAGAGATTCACACATAGCCGTTACTCGTTCCAAAAATCTCGGAAGACAGTGGTTTACCCCCTTTACTTGAAGATGGATAAATATACGATGACAGAATGTAATCCAGTTTCTTTAATTTCTAGGTGACCAAGAGGATCTTGACTGATATCAAAAATACTCAAATTCAACATTTCAAGATAAATGGAAATACAAGCATATTTATGAGCTTTATGGAATCGTTTCTCATAGCGGTAGTATGTCAGGAGGACATTACATCTCTTATGTCTGCTACAAGTAATTCTTAAGATTAAATTCTAGATATGGTAAAAATAGAACTTGGTTCTACTGAAGTGACAGCTCAGTCAGAAAAGTCAAAGAAGAATCTGCTCTCGATACTGAAGCATACATTCTCTTCTACCGTAAGCTCTCTTAATCAATCTTTCCCTCCAAAAACTCTCACTACAAAACGTTCAGGTTTCTTTTCCAGTTGCTATTCTCCAAAAATCTGTTTTTTAACTACAAAAGTTCCTAGAATCCATTGTTTAAATAAAACTGAACTATATAATAATTATGGAGGGGTTTTGGGGTTTTGGGGTTTTGGGG